GCGGCCCACCCCCCCCGGCCCTCCCTACCTCCTGCAGCAGGTCAGCCTGCTCGATGGCTTTTAGCACGCTCTTCTTGGAGGTGTCTTGGATCTCCCCGCCCATGAGGAACTCGTCCAGGATGAAATAGGCCTTCTCGAAGTTGAAGATGATATCAAGCTCACACACCTGGGGCGGGAGGGAGGGAGGGAGAGAGAGAGGAGTATCAGGGCTGCCCGGAGCCGGGGAGAGAACCCAGGAGTCCTGGCTCCCAGCCCCCCACATCCCCCTGCTCCAGCCCCCACTCCCCTCCCCGAGCCGGGGAGAGAACCCAGGAGTCCTGGCTCCCAGCCCCTGCATTCCACTAGCCCCCTGCCCTGTGCTAGGGGCTCTGTTCCCCTCTCAGAGGGAGGGGCGCATACAGCTGGGAGGGGGGTGAAAATATGACCAAGTGGGAATTTTTTGTAATGTATTTTATGTCGCCCCTGTGTGCCTCAGTTTCCCCCTATACTCCACACGGCTCCCCAGTGGGGTAACGAGGATGAAGGGAACGTCTACCCCTGCAGCGCATGTGGTGAAGACGCTCTGGGCCGACGGGAGAGACGCTCTCACCCCAGCACAGCACGACGCACAGGTCGGGGTAACATACGTCGCTCCGGGGGGGCGTGTGGTAGAATAGCCCCACCCCGGAGCGACATGGGTTACACCCACACCAGTGGCAGTGTCCACGTGGCCTGTGTTCCCACCGGGTGGGCCGAACGGGTCATTAAAAGGATCAACCTGCTGGGCCCGGACATTAACGCCTAGCACCCCATGCCCCAGGGGGCGAAGTATTCCCTGCCTCTCCGCAGGGAAGCTGGGCACCACCCCGGCTGGAGACCACAGGACGGAGCAGCGCGGGGCGTGCAGCACGGCCTTTGGGAGACGCTAGCCGCTTGCTGCCGGCCTGACCGAGAGCGTGAGCCGGGAAATGGGGGCCAGGTCAGCCGGGTGGGTGCACCGCGGCGTGAGACACCCCTGTTCGGGAACGGCGGCTGGCGCACGGAGGCTCAGTCTAGGAGGTGTTGGGGCCCCGGGACCGGCCCTGGAGGCAGAGTGGGGCCCTGGCCTGCGGCTCCGTGACAGGGAATTAGCCGGATTAGCCCAATTAGCGTTTCTATCCCCCGCGGCTCAGCGGGCAGGCGCCTGCCCGGGGGGATTAACGAGGCAGAGTTAATGCGCGGGGGATTAGCTGGGATTTGACCCACCCACCCACGGGGCTGGGCCCGAGCGCCAGAGCCAGCCACATGGATCAGAGGGTCCCTGGGTCACCCAGGCCCCTTGCCTAGGGTCGGCAAGTCCCGCTGCCCGTCTCCAGGACACCACACCCACCCTAGGGTCACTGCCTGCCCCATACCCCCGGGACCCCAGACCCGCAGGGTGCATGGGTGTGTGTGTGGGGGGGGGGGGCAGGGGGCCGCACTCACACTGCCGAAGTATTTGTCCAGCAGCTCCACGTATCGGTGGATCAGCTCCAGCGTGATCAGCTCGTTGTCCTGGCCTTCGATGGCGCAGCAGAAGTATAGGCTGGCGTATCTGCGGGTGCACGGCAGAGGGCTCAGCGGGGCGGGGTGGGGGGGAGATCCCAGCCAGCACAGGCCTGGGAGTGTACACGGGGAGGGTTGTGGCACATCCCCATGCCCCACCCCCACTACCCAAACCTCCCCCTGGTCCGGGCCGAGCCGAGCCCGTTAGACCCCTGGGCAGCCTCAGCACCAATGCCAGGGCCCCACAGGACGGGCAGAGTCAGAGACACCCTGACCCTCCCCCTATGTGCCCTGCTCCTCCCGGGCCCAGAGCAGGGCGGCGCAAGGGGAAACTGCTCCCCCACCCCAAGTTCCCCGTGGCCCGTTCAGCCCTCTGGTGCCTCTGCTCGGGCCGCCAGCGTGGGAGGTGGCAGGTGCCGACAATGCCCTGTGACGGGGCAGCTGGGCTCTGGCTCCCAGCCTGGCAACGATGACAGACTGCAGGCTACGGGCCACCGAGTGGCCTGGAGACGGGGTAAGGCTGGGGCGCTGGCTCCCACCCGGCCCCAGGGCGGGCACTGGCTGGCTCC